CAAAGGTTTCACAATTTTCCAGGAGGAGAGGGGCTCCCCGCTCCCCCCGGGGGGGGGGGGGGGGGGAGGGGGAGAACAAAAAGTCCTCCTTTGTCCCAAGCAAATAAGTGGAAGAAAGTGAGATGAACATATGGGAGACACCAGATCCTCCTTGCGGGCTTTCATTTTCCAGCTCATGACCTTTCCGAAGGATTGGGGGCTAAACTTGATCTGAGCCTGTGCAATTTTTGCAAACAGAAGCAAATTGAAAACATTCCCCTCTTTCGCGGGGCTCCTGTAACTCTGATGTCCCTTCCAGGGACGCAGGAGCCATGGTTGTGTAAGGAATTCATGACTTGGCTCAAGGAGAGAAGGCAGAAGCAGGCCAAGGAGAGTCCCTCCCCAGAGAATGGAGCCCCTGAGCCTCCCCGCCCCAGCCCCACCCCCGCCCGCAGCCTTCAGCCCTGGCCCCCGGACCCGCTTCTGGGTGCAGCGCAGGATGAGGAAGGTCTCGATGCTGTGCTCCTTGAGGTAGGCGTTGCGCTCGCCCCCACAGCCTGGCTCCACCTCGTAGTCCCCGTTCAGGTAGTTGAGTGTGGCCTTGGTGATGTGGATGCGTCTACAGGTGCAGATGGAGGCGGGAGAGGAGGGAGAACACATGAATTCAGAGCTCTAGCTGCCAAGCAGAACCCAGATGTACCGACTCAATCCCGATTCAAAGTGCGGCTCAGAAGCCAGCCCCAGCTTGATCCCCACTTGACATCCTGTTTCCCTCCAATGTCATCGAATGGCTCAGGGAGGGTCCGTCCCAGCTCACGACCCCTTGGCCACACAACCTCACATCTATGGTACATTGTTATAACAACACAACACGTTTTTACCCTGCCAGGAACACAGCCTGCAGTCTCAACTTTGCAAACCTGGCCAGGAGCCAGCAGGGGCTCCTACTGACTACCGACTGCGTCCAAACCCGCATCTGGCATGACTGCCCTTCTTAACACCGGCTTTTCCCATTGGTCCCTAAAAAGCCATCTGCTCTACTTCCATTCCTTGGACGTAATATATTTTCCTGTCCCGTGTCTGTCCTCGCTCCACCCCTCAGCCTGACACTCTCCCTACCCCACCTTCCTTATCTGTCCAAATCCTGCTCTTCGTCCCGGCCAGCTCATCCCACCTCCTTTCTGCCCTGGATACCCCAGAATTTATCTGTGGGTCCTCCCTCCTCCAGAGCTCTGCCCTACCTCCCACATCTCACCAGCCACCGCGTTCTGTGTAAACAGTTTCTGGGTGGAGGCTCGGGAAGCTGACCTGACGCTCCCTACACTTGCCCTGGTGCCGTGTAAGTAAATTGTCAGGTTGAGTAGTTTCTGCTTAAACTCTGCCACCCCCAGGGTTTCAAGTGACTCCATCCTGCCCACTCCAGCCCCACCCCTCACGACCGTGGCCCTGAGTGAGCCTGGGGGGGAGGCTAAGTCGGGGCCCTGCCCACAGCCCTCACTCACCCAGCCTTGCCTCCAGCCTCCATGTGGTTGGCCAGCGTGACGTCGTTAGACCAGACGTCGAACTGCCACTTCCTGAGACCAAGGACACCGCAGTGTACTCGCCCGCTGTGAATTCCCACGCGCATGTTCACGTTCACCCCTGTCACCTCCCGGACCAACCTGGGGATGGAGCAGGGGTGAGGCTGGGAGAGGGTCACGGGCCGGCACACAGAGTGGGGGTGAGGCTGGAAGGCAGGAGGTCAGGGGATGTGTCAGAAGGTGCAGGGGTCAAAAGTCATTTTCTCTGGGCCAGCCCAAACCCAGTCTGAGACCCTCCAACCTGCAGGGCGGGGCTGGGCGCTGGAGCTCAGGTGCTGCGAACTGTGAGGTGCTGCTTCCTGACTTGGCCACAAGGTGGCGTGACACCTCACACTAAAACCCAGGCCCCCCTGCTTCCCCCGACTAAGGCACCTGGAGCCATTGCTATCCTCAGTCCATGACATTGTGTTTCGAAAATGCAAACGAACATTAGTGCCAACTTGAGCCAGACGGGGAAGTTACAGCCAATACATACCCCATTCATATAATGCTCTTGGCTTTATCCACATCGCTGGACAAGAGAGGAAAGGCGGGTAACTGAGGACATGTGTCTGCTCAGGAAAGAAGGGGAGCCTAGGCAGGGGTAAGGACTAGGTGTCCCCGATGGGCTAGAAGACAGCTCCAGTCCCTGCTACCAAGGGGGTCCCCAGTAGACAGGTGGCCATCCAGGGAGTAGGTCAGAGATTGCATCCTCTGTGGGGAAGGGAGTAGGACAGAAGCTATCCATCTCCAGGTCTGTGTCTGGGCCCACAGACAGGAATTCTGGGGTCAAGTACACAGGATGTACTTTTGAGGGACCTGGACCTTCCCAGACACCCTGGGGATGAGCCCACTCAGCCAGCTGTGGGCCAGCAGTCTGACTCGGCGGGCTGACCACAAGGGCTCCAGCCCACCCCACCAGGGAAGATTTATGTCATCCATCACTTCTCTTGTCCTGGGACCAAGTCTGCAAATAGTTTACTGGAGCCATTCCTTCCATCTGGCCTCTGCCCACTTGCTTAGGTTGGTGCTATCTCATTCTACCTTTCTGGCTTACCTCCAGGGCCACCTCCTCCATGCAGCCTCTCTAGGTCTTTTCAGTGTAATCAATGGCTGCCTCCTTCACACCTCCCACCACTGTGCACCTCTCTTACCTGGGGGCACACCTGGGCCCAGGGCATGGAGCCCCAGCCTCTCTCCCTCAACGGACTCCACGCTTCCGGGTGAGGGACCCCCGGTGAGCCCAGGCCCACGGGGCACTCAGCAAGCACTGCCGAATGGGACCGAGCCAAACTTACCGGACCCAGCCACTTCCTGGCCAATGACTCCGACATCTGACCTTGCCCCCTGTGGCTTTCCCTCTGCCCCTGCCCAGGCTATGTCTAAAGTTCAAAGTTACTGAACCTGGATGCAATCTCTGACCTGCTCCCTGGGTGGCATGTAAGCTTGGCTTGTTCAGGATTTCTAATGACCAGGGGCTCCTTCTATGGCCAACAATGACCAAAAATTGGCCCAAACCCTTTCTGCCATATTCCCAGGATGGATGGATTTTCTTAAATGGGAATACCTGTGTTTGACCCTCCCTGCCTAGGAATATTACCCTGGGGAGCTATTCACCCGTGAGCCCAGCCTTTCTCATCTGGTAGAAAAGGGGGGGTGGGGTCCTACGCCCGCCTGAGTGATGGTGAGGACACGAGGGACCACTGTAGGGCAAGGCCCCCACACGGCACGGCTGCCGGCTTGTCCTCCGCTCCTGCAGAGGGGACCCAGCCCCTCAAAGCCCTCCCTTCCTGCAGGACACGCTCCCTCCGGGAAAAGCCTCCCCGGCTGCTGTGGGTGAAGGGAGCCCAGGCGGAGGCTCAACACCTGCAGGTGCAAACCAACCCTCCCGCCAAGCCGGGTGGTCCTCGGGAGACGGCTTGCCCACTGTTTCTGGACTCCATTAGTCCAACCAGGTGGCCAGTCAGTTATGTCGGCCGTGGGCCAGTCCGTCTACAGACAGGCGGTCTCCCGGGAGATGGACAGACCCCTGAAGAGAGACAGCGCCCTGAGACGGACAGATTCCCTGCAGATGGGCAGTCCTCCTGGAGACAGGCACTTACGAGATGGCCTCGATCATGTCCATGCCCATCTCCACGCAGCAGTGGGCGTGGTCAGCCCTCGCTTCAGGCAGCCCCGAGACGCAGTAATAACAATCCCCCAGGATCTTAATACGTAAACAGTGATTCTCCTGGAAAGCAAATTAGTTTTTAAAATTAAAAATAGCAGGAAAGTGAAGTGGGAGGGAAAGAAACGGGAAGCAAACAGATTCACTCCATGCCTGGAATAACTTGCCTTTTAGGGCAGTGAGCACAGACCCAGTCCCCATGAGCGCCCCGTCCTGGGACAGGGACAGGCTTATCAAAAGCCCCGGGGACAGAGGACAGGCTGAGCAGCCCTTGGCGAAGCATTCCAGCCTCCCCAAGCTCGGGAACTCACTTTCAAGGGTCCCCCCCTCCCTGGGTGTCACTTCTACTTTGTCCCAAGGTGGAAGAGTCCTCTCTCTGGAAGCTCCTGGCGGGTGGGGGTGCGGGGGGAGGGACAGGCTGTCTGCAGGCCAGCTGGTATCCAGACTCATTCTCCCATCACTTGTCAACCTCACCAGGAAAGTGGCTCTATGGCACCTCATTTGTCCCATCAAACAAATTCTTCGAGAATCGGGGCAGTGTTACCCGCAGGCCTCAAACCCCTCCCACTGACGGAGGGCTCACTCACAGCATCTCCCACTGAGTGTGTGGCCGGGGCTGATGCAGGGCGTGAGCACACCACCACCTGCGCCAGTCACCAGTTCCCAACAGCAGGCTCTGCCAGGCAGGGCACACCCTGGCCCCGTGCCCACCCCTGGGGTTCATCGGGTCCTGCCCACGGCACCCTCCCTCAGGCAGCCCAGATCAGGCCCTCCCGCTGGCCCTGGAGGAGGCACTCGGTGCGGCGGGCGCGGGCAGGGTGACTCACCGCAGCCAGCTTGTCGAAGCGGGCGAAGAGCTCGTTGAGGGTCATGACCAGCTCCTGGGCAGTGCACTGGGACGCCAGGCTGGTGAAGCCCTCGATGTCAGCGAACAGGATGCTGGGGAGACAGGCGGAGGAGGACCCCAGTGAGGGAGGACGGGCAGGGGGACGCGGCCAGGGCCACCCTAGGCCTCAGGCCAGCACGAGTCCTGGGGGCTCCGCGTGGCTGCTGGGGAGAGAGCCACGGAGGCCCAGCCTGGGGGCCCGAGCATGCGGTCGCTCCCTGCTGCTCAGGAAGCAGCTGCAGTCCTCTCTGGGTTCTAGCTGCTACCCGGGAGGAAAAGAGGCCCTGAAGGGTGTGTCAGCCGGAGTTTACCACAGACCCAGGCCCCCATCCTCATCACCTCTTGGGCCTGCCCCTGCTGGACCCAGAGCCACCCCTCAAGGTGGCTGGGCCTGGGGATGGGGCTCAGGACCAAATGGTGGCCTCACGAGGCCTCACTTCATACACATGGGACTCCAGCCCCGGGCTCTCCGTCCCAAAGAAACCCTCTAAAGCAGCGGTTCTCAACCTGTGGGTCGCGACCCCTTTGGCGGTCGAACGACCCTTTCACAGGGGTCGCCTAAGACCATCCTGCATATCAGATATTTACATTATGATTCATAACAGTAGCAACATTACAGTTATGAAGTAGCAACAAAAATAATTTTATGGTTGGGTCACAACATGAGGAACTGTATTTAAAGGGCCAGAAGGTTGAGAACCACTGCTAAAGGGACGAACTAGAGGAGGCCAGGGGGAGATAAAGGGGGACACAGCCAGGAGGCGTCTCTGGAAGCCCCAGCTCGTCCCCACCAGCTCCTCTGGCCTCACCTACCCCCGCCCCCACCTCGCCCTGGGTGCCCACCAAATGCACCAGCCGGTCCCTACGCGGCACACTGCGGAGCTTCTATGTTTCTGAGGCTCGTGTTTCCAAGACTGAAACACCTTCCTTTGTCTCATAACAGATGACCAGAGGTGAGGACCCAGCGCCAGATGTATAAGGGCCCCTAGAATTTTTTTTCTTGAAATGGACACACAGATGCAGTGACTCTCACGTGATGAGCTACTCCCAGGCCGGCATGGGCTCGCTGTGTCCGTCTCACGGAAGAAGCCGGAGACAGCGGGACGGCAGGCTCCCCCAGGCCTGTGCTGCTTCCGCACACCCCAGCCCCGGAGGCTCCAGAACTGAGCCCCGCTCTAAAGGAAGAATGTAGGACTAAACATACGTTGTCACTTTATTCTGAAAACGTGTGGGTGCCTTAAGCATGTCTTTATTCCGCCGTCTGACATCTGGGGCCTTGCTCACCCTGGGGAGCCTTCCCTCTGGCAGCCAGTTCCCCGAGTCAGCACCTCCCCTCGGGGTCGGCCCCGCCCCAGTCAGGCTCTCACACCCCGGCCACCAGCCCCAGCCTGAACCGCCAGGGACAGGTGCAGACACGGGGCAGTCCTAAGCCCACTTACCCCGCCTCACCTGTTCCTTCCCACAGTGAAGGCTTTTGCCCACATTTCCCCCACATTCTGCCTCCTGCCCGACCCCGGTGCTTCCCTGCCTGGCCCCCAGCACATGGTGTGCCCTCAGCCCTCGGGAACTGTAACAAACTATCTTCGATGGAAATCGTCTCCCAGGCTCACCACACCTGGATACAAATGAAACCTACATTTAAAAACAGTTGGAAGGGGGGGGGGGGGACTATGTAATACTTTCAACAATAATTATTTAAAACAAAACAAAAACAGTTGGACGCTGTTCTAAGCACTTTACATGAACTCATCTGAGCTTCTTTTTCAGGCGAAAAAACGGAGGCCCAGAGAGGTTGAGTCACCTACCCAAGGCCACACAGGCAACCTGGCTCCACAGTCCAGGAGTTGGACCAATAAACAGTACGCCGTCTGATGGCCTACAGTCGTCTTAAGGGAATAAAGACATCTGTCAGTGGCCTGGCATTATGTACGGGGCAGAGGGAGGCGAGGGGCACATGGGCTGTTTTGGGTGGGCACGCACTCAGCGGCTGCTTCACAGCTCCCGAGGGGCAGTGGACACAGGGAGTGCCCCCTGGGGCTGCAGCCAGGCTGTCACCTCCCAGGGCAAGCACGGGAGGGCAGACCCAGGTGCCGAGCCCAGTGTTGTTTCCTGGCATCCAGGGTCCTCTAGCCACTCAGATCCCAGCCTGGATCAGCAAAGACAACTGCAGGAGGAAAGCCAAAGAGAGTGGGGAAATGGGGGGACATGACGAGAGACGAGACAAGTGAGGGGAAAGAAAAAGTAGGGAGCAGGAGGAGCAGAGGGGAGACACTGTCTCTTCAGGCCACAGGACTCTGGACGTCAGACAGCTGCTCGGGGAGCGGGCAGCCACGTGCAGAGTGCTCGGAGATGAAAGGGAGTCGGGATCAGCACCACGCTTTGATGCCCGGTGTCTGACATGCAGACAGGCGCAGCGCCGGCCCAGGGAGTCTCCGGGCTTGCGGCACGCTGGTGGGAAAGGAGCGAGTGAGGGAAGCTAAGGGCTCCGGGTCCTGCTCTGGCTTCCTAACCAAGTGCAGACCCCATCCTGGCCCACCTGCCTCTTCCCGAGCTCCGTCTCTCAGGCAGCGGCCCCACTCCACCCAGGAGGCGGGAAAAGGTCTCTCCTCGCGTGTGAAAAGCACCCTCACATCGCTGTTCTGGACATTCTTCTTTGACTCAGGAAAGCAAAGCAAGTCGGGGTCAAAATTGGCTGCTTCAGAGTCAAGGAGCACGGTCAGCTGACCTCACGATTTCGAATGCACAGCCAGTGATGCCAGGCCCAGCGGCTGTTCCCCTCTGGGTCCAAGGCTGGTGAGACCCATAATAGGAAGGAAAAACGTCCCTGGACTTGGCAGAGGCAAGGTAAGAAGAAAGAAAGAGAAGGAATCGCCTGGGAAGCATGAGGCAGATGTGTGGGAACCAGGGGCACCTACCCAAACGCACCTAAGTCACTCAAGGCAGACAGGGGTCTGTCTGCCAGGCATGGACACGGCCAGGCCTGGGCCACCCTCCTTCCCCACACGTGCCCTCGCTAGGCCACAGGGAGCACTCACCCTGCTAGACCCGTGGTCCTTAGGCCTGGGGCCTGTCAGAACCACCTGGGAGCTTTCATAAGGAGAGGTCTTAGAGCTCCCCCACCCCCCCACCTCCGCCGCCAAGATGCTAACTTGCTTGGCCTGGGGTGGGGTTCTGCTACTGATTGTTTTTGTTCTGCTTTATTTTAAGCTTCCCTGTTGATTCTAAGAGGCAGCCAGGGTTGAGAAGCCTGTGCTAGTTCAAATGTCACCCTCCCAAGGCGGCTTCCACCACCCTATTTAACTCTACAGCCCCTCCCACATGTCTCTCTCCCTTCCCTGCTCAGCTTTCCCCCTTGTGCTTTTCACCATTTAACATACTCTTTATGTTACTGTGGTGGTTACTTATCATTACGCTCCTGTCTGTCTCTTCTACTAGGAAGTGAACTCCTTAAGGGAGGGAGTTTGGTCGATTCCATGAACTGCTATATCACAGCCCCACACCACGTCTGGCACAGAGTAAATGCTCAATAAAATGTGCAATGGACTGACCGAATAAATGAGGAGAGGTCATGTCTACCTGCCTTCTGCTCTATCTGTCCCCACCCCCACCACCCATATACATCTAGCACTATACCCAGCACACAGTAGGTAACAAAGTACTACAAACTTGGGGTTGGGGGAGCTTAAAACAACAGAAATATATCCTCTCACAGTTCTGGGCCATGCTCCCTCGGGGATTCTGGGTACAAGCCTTCCTTCCGCTGTCTGGTGGTTGCTGTCAACCCCTGGCCCACAGCTGCTCCACGCTCATCCCTGCCTGCGTCCTCACGTGGAATCCTTCCTGTATATCTGTCTCACAGGGCAGGCTCCTCTTCAGATCAGGACACCAGTCGTTTTGGATGAAGCGCCCACCCTCCTCCAGCCGGACCCCTCTTAACCTGATTTCATCTACAAAGGTTCTACTTCCAAATAAGGTCACACTCACAGATACCAGGGAACTCAACATACCTTTTAGAGGGACAAAATTCAGCCGGTAAGTGTCTACTATATACTGGCTCAATAGAAGAAAACAGTTTCAAAGCAACAAAGCGGCAGAACCAGCAGCTCTAGTAGCCCTTCCTTCTTCTCCCCGGGCCTCTGAGAGCCCCAAGCATGCCATCTGATACACGCACCTGCAGAGCCCGGGGCCCGGCGCCCACAGGTGCTCCAGGAGATACCGGACACAGGGGTGTGTGTGGGCCTCCTGGAATCTACTCTTCCAAGGCCCCTCCGGGACCTTCAGCAGCTGCTGAGGAATCGGGGAGGGCAGGCTGCTACAGCTCCTGCTGTCGGGAGGTAGGACAGAGCAAGCAGCCAGCCGGGCGGAGGGGGCTCAAATCAGGGCTTCTACCCGACATGGCAGCGTCGACAAGGCCTCAGAGACCCCAGCCCCAAGCCCTGCAGCCTCTCCCACACGTTTGTGGAAACACTGCCACCTCCACATCCCCCCGCCCCCCTCGGAGTCACCCTCCCCTGCCATGGGGGCGGGGGGGTCTGCTCGGTGACTGTCGCTTTGGGAGGCTCCTGCTGGACGAGGGTTAGCCAAGGCAGACTGTTCACTGGGCAGCGTCTCTGCCCTGCTCCTTGGTCATTCTGAAGGCCGTTTTACAAGCAGCCCGGGGCCAGACGTGCGGTAAGGTGCTAATTCATCGATTAGCTCCCACTTGAGAGCTCATGTTGGCAATGTGAGCAGAAGCCGAGCAGGCCCACTCTGCTGTGCGCGCCTCTCTAATTGCCTGCCATCCGTCACTCGTGGCCCCTGCATTCCACTCCAGAGGCAGGAGCGGGCAGGCGCCCGGCCCAATGACCACAATGGGCCCTTCAGCCATCTGTCACTGCCTCAGCCCAGCTTCACCACGTGCGTTCTCGGTGAGGCACATTTCCTCACTGATGCTCCCTCTGGCTGCCAACGGGCCCTGTGACGAGATGACGCTGTCACATCCGGCAGCATCTGAACACCCAGGAGCTGAGTTCGCCTAGCGGTCTGGGCAGCCGACATCGCGGGGACCTGCCCC